CTGTACTCACTGCAGCTGGTGCTGTTGTGGTGGTCAGGTGAGGCTTTGTTGTGTTACTGGTGTGTGTGTGTGTGTGTGTGTTGCTGCTACTGCTGGTGTGCCAGTGCTGGTGCTGGTGCTGTTGTCAGGCAAGCCTCAGTTGTGTTGTTCCTGTCCTGCGTTCCTCTTGCTAGTGCAATGTCCAGTGCTAGTGCTAGTGCTAGTGCTAGTGTTGGTGGCATTACAGACAGTCTGACCTGGTCACATAGTGCTATCAGTACCAGTAGTTCCATTGGCAATGCTGCTGCTCCATCGCACTCCACTGCGGGCAATAAATCTTGCCAGATCTTGTCCTTACTCATTGTCCCAGTATGCAGCAGATGCCAGCTTTGGTGACATCTATGCTATGTTATACTGTGCGGAGTTGTTTGCTGGTCTGCCCCAGTACCCTGGCATGGTTGGTCGGTGATTGTTTCCATGGTAATCTCTTGGTCAGTGTTGGCGGTCAGTGACTGTTGATTCGTGTTGAAGGATCTAGTCAACGGCGACAGGATTTGTAGTCTTTCATTTTGCGAGTGCATGCGTGTGACTTTCTATCAGCATATTGTTGTGTTGTTATGACTGCCTGGTGCAGCACTCTGTTTGCTCATAGTTAGCTTTTCGTTTGTAATGCTGCTGCAGCTGTGCTGTTTTGTAATGCTGCTGCAGCTGTGCTGTTTTGTTGCTGCTGCTGCTGCTCCTATTTGTGTCATTGCTGTTGTGGCGTGTGATGGCAGTGCGTTTGCGCGTGTTTCAGCCGTGTTGTTCTACAACTAGTTAGTTGCACTCTTTCTTATCGTCTTCAAGCCGTGATCAAGTCATGACCGAGCCTCCCATGACCAAACTAACACTGCTACACACGCTCTGCTCTTTCCACCGAACTTTGTCACTTTTTTATATATTCTTGTTGTTAACCAATTTGTTTCCCCTTCTCAGCAGCAGCATCTTGATATGCACAGCACATCCACCATTGATATCACTGTCCATGTTTGTATGTGTGTGTGTCTGTGGTGGCAATAGATAGACCCCGAGCAAACACTTAGTATGGACCTGAGCCCACGCACATGTGTGTATGTGTGAGGCGCTGCTCTGGTCCGGCCGCCCTGCCATCCTATTTCCATATTGCTATTATCCTGAGCACACATGTGTGATACTACTCTTTCTTATGTAATGTTGTTGCTACTGTTGCTAGTAGCACCCTCTGCACATTGTCAGTGCACAATGCTGTTGTTCTTTTCTAATCCACTTTCTATGTCCCCCCCCCCCCTCTTTCCTCGTCGCTGATTTCTGCAAGGCAGATGCCTGTGTTTTCTGCAAGGCAGATGCCTGTGTTTTCTGATTGCATGCTTTTAACTGCTATGCGTGCTGCATGCCTTGCCGCTTGTCGCTTTATTTTCGCCATGTTTCTGATTCTCCTAACGCGCATTGCTGCCACTGCCACTGGTGATGTTCCTAACGTGCCAGTTGCTGCTCTTGCGTGCACACGTGTGTGCTGCTCCAGGAGGCATCTTGGAGTCTGTGAGGTGGCCTGCATGCATCATCTTATTTTCATGATATTGTCAACTGTACATCTTTCATGACAGCAGCCACTAATATTGCCGGTATGTGTTGCTGGTGCTGCCCTGCCCTGCCCTGCCCTGCTCTTCTTCCTGTTCTAGTTTCACTGATATGCATACGTCATGCCCTGACTCTGCACAACACACACACACACACACACACACACATCAGTGTGAGTGCTGCCTAGGCGTGTGTGTATTCTGTGTGGCCTGTTATACACTCTCTTTTCCGTGTCTCAAGTTTTTCTACTTCTACTGCCACTGCTGCTGCTGCTGTCATTTTCCTGGTTTTGCTGGTGCTCGTGTTCATCATGGCCGGACCCTGTAGACCGCAGTAGCAGTATCTGCTTGTATCTCTTCAAGAGTGGGGTAGCTTTGACAAGGTCTGTATTCTCAATTTCTTCTGTCCATGATAAGACGACAACCTTTCTCTTTGACAGGCATTCTCTTCTTGCCTGTCCTGGTCTCTGCTTTCATGTTACTCATCAAACGGTTTTTTTCTCTCATGCCTGTACATGTGGCTTGGTTGCTCTGTGCACTTTTTGTCATATTTACTCTCATGCAACACATGCCAACTCTATTTCTGATATTTCTTGATATCTGCTTGTTTCAATTGTTTGGTTTTTGTTGGTGAATTTTACTCGTTTTCAGTCCAATCTCCAACTGATACCTTGCCAAATGTATATGCGTGTGCGTGTGCGTGTGTGTGCTCCTGTGTCTGCATCTGCGTAAGAAGTGCCTGTATGTCCATACAACGGAGATCCTGCTACATAGATGTGCCATAGACCAATAGTGAGTGTGTGTGTGTGTGTGTGTGTGTACATGCGCCCACCTGTCTGGAGCTTACCTTCTTGCCAATGCATTTGGAAGTTGGACTTGTAGTGTCAGCTCCTCAATCCGGTGTGCCGTTACTATAATTATCTCTCATGCCGAAGGTTGTTGGTGTGTCTATTGGCTCTGGGTTACCAGTACTCAGTTGCCGAGGCTGGCTGGTAAAGTAACTCATCCGGTGTCTGCTTCTATCACAGGAGCTTTCTGTCTATACTGGTTACCCCAGCAAGTGTAACGTTTTCATATGCACTGGTAACTCATTGGCTGTCCTATTTCCATGTGCTCCGTCTGGTGCTGACTACTTGTTTTTGTAGGTGTGCGTTGATGGTCAATTCACATGGCTTAGCCAGTTTAATACAATACTCACACAGCAATGACACAACCAAGTTCTTTTCTGCCGTTTCGTGTTTAAATGGAACGCTCATCACGCAGCATGATATTTCGCCAGTTAAGTGAATTAGACTTTAGTCAGTAATATCTGGGACTAGTCTTGATCTGTTTCTTTCAGATCTTGTCCGCTGTTGTTGCATAAGAGAAAATCTGTGTCTGCATGTGGCCACCAGCTTGACAATACATGTATCGGTGGTCTTGGTGCTGAAAGTAAATGGTACTACATTGTACATGTGTATCCGACTTTACTTACACCTGTCGCATTTGAACATTTCCAAATGAAACATTGCAGCAACGTGCGGATGTTATATGCACTGAAGCCGTTTAGGTCCCGTATATTCTTGAAAGAAAACAGCTCTCAAATTGTTTTCAATAACCACACTGGTTGAAAACACGTTCTGCAGTCAGCACAGTGTGTGTGTGTGTGTGTGTGTGTGTGTGTGTGTGTGTGTGTGTGTGTGTGTGTGTGTGTGTGTGTGTGTGTGTGTGTGTGTGTGTGTGTGTGTGTGTGTGTGTGTGTGTGTGTGTGTGTGTGTGTGTGTGTGTGTGTGTGTGTGTGTGTGTGTGTGTGTGTGTGTGTGTGTGTGTGTGTGTGTGTGTGTGTGTGTGTGTGTGTGTGTGTGTGTGTGTGTGTGTGTGTGTGTGTGTGTGTGTGTGTGTGTGTGTGTGTGTGTGTGCGTGTGTGATCTACATGTCATGTAGACTATAACACCACACTGTGCTACCTGCATTCAAGCCAGGCTCAGCAAGCAACCCCGCTGCTTACGCGTCCTTGTTATGAACATATTCATAACAACAACGCTGCCTAGTACATGGCAGCATGCTCATGTGAACAGCAAGACGTAAACACTTGCATTCATATACGCATCATGCGCGGCATGCGCATGAACCAACATGCCCCCTGAACACCTTGATATTGGCACACAGCTCAGATGATTCACTGACAAAAAAAAGGGAAGCAGGGTGGTACCGTCACGACTTGGGAGTGGAGCATCCTTGTCGTGTATATACGTAACGTCTTCTTATATGTTACACAAGCCCATCGTGAAGGGATGACAGTGAACAAGCTATGTTACACATTAGCAACTATAACTGTACTGTCCTGTCCTGAACATTGCCGTTTCCGGTTACATGTCCCCTTGTGTGAGGGGCCGACAGACATGGAGAGTTGGGCCGAGGGCCCCAACTCTACACATACGTACGCACACATACACACACACACACACACACGTACGTGCGCACACGGATGGAACAAGTGCTTCAGTTTGGCAAGTGACGCCAGAATGTCAGAATGCAACGAACGATGCAGGTTTCAATGGTGGCAGTGCAACAGCTAAACAACATTACAATATATACTGCAAACGTCTGCAATAATTATATTATTATAGAATGAGCGGAATGATCATGCGATTCATGGCTGTGATATGCACATACCGCGGTTAAAATACACCACATTCTCAAGCTGACGGACTGTGAGTGCCGGTCTGCGTGTGCATGCATGAACATTGAACAAGGCATGCACACAGACACAAGCACAGAAGTATACTGTCAGCGTGCATGCACTCGTGTGTGGTGTGTGTGTGTGTGTGTGTGTGTGTGTGTGTGTGTGTGTGTGTGCACACGATAATTGATACTTCAAGTCGTGTGTGTGTGTGCGCGTGATAATTGATACTTCAAGTAATGATGGTTGTAAGAACGTATTCGAATTAGTGTCAACAGTCTCTCACAATACTCATCCTCCACAATCTACATGATCTCTCTGCTGCAAAAATATTCCCTTCTTTACCAAGTTTTCGGGAATGTCCCATCCATACGGCAATCAATCAAACTAAAGCTGAGCAGCGCACACGTCCAGAGCTAAGAGTTATTTAACATAATCCTGATCAACAGAGACTGATTCCAGTGATTCGGACGGAGTTCTTTTTGAGTTCGGCCACTTCAGTGTGAAGTGTTGTTACTACGAGAGCGCGTGCGTATGCGTGTGTGTGTGTGTGTGTGTGTGTGTGTGTGTGTGTGTGTGTGTGTGTGTGTGTGTGTGTACGAGTAATAAGCTGCAGTAGATAACGGTTGATGACAATGCTCAGTGGTGGGCTATAGGATTGCAATGCACTCTATAGCCTTGTATAGGCGGATCAGCAGCAACACAGTACCGCCGCAATACGTCACGTGTGCGTGTGTGTGTGTGTGTGTGTGTGTGTGTGTGTGTGTGTGTGTGTGTGTGTGTGTGTGTGTGCGTGTGTGTGTGTGTGTGTGATGTAGTCTAGACATCAGACTCAGTAGTTGTACTTGCTGTGTCACCACTTCTACCACTTCCACCACTTCTACCACTTTTACCACTGACTCCACTGACAGCCGAGACACTGATGATGGAACTGCCACTGGACTCAGTGGTAAGCAAAACAGGAACATGTGTTGCTGGAGGCAACTCGGCATCTGTGGGCTGTCCGACGTATGGTTCTCTGCTTTCTTTCTCAGCTTCAACCAATCCAGTGCATTCCACGCATTCAGTTGTTGTGTCCCTGTCCTGATTGGTAGGTACTGGTTGTGGCTGGGGGGTTGCAGGTGCTGCGGCTGCAGGCACTGTCACTGCCACGTGTAACCGACTGGTGCTGTCGCTTGCTGAGTCCACACTCCCCTCCTCACTATCCTCACTTCCAGACTTTTGCTTCTCCTCGGCGTTCCATTGCCGTTCTCTCTTCTTTCTCCGCACTGCAAGCAGAACATGCAGCAGTAACAATAACAGCAGTGGCGGCGGCGGCGATGGAGGAGGACGCAGACGCAGCAGTAGAGACAGCAGCAGTAGCAACAGCAACAGCAGTAGCAGCAGCAGCAGTAGCAGCAGCAGCAGCAGCATTAGCAGCAGTAGTAGCAGCAGAGTGAGAGAGAGAGAGAGAGTGAGAGTGAGTGAGAGAGAGAGAGAGAGAGAGGGGGGGTGGGGGGTGGGGGTGGAGAGAGAACAAGAAGAGAGAAAAATAGATTCAAAGGCAGTTCAGATGCAGTGAACATCATGCAATGCTTGGTGCACTCGTGCTTGGCTCCGTGGTGCACTTGCAAAGTGTGCATTCAGGGGGGGGGGGGGGGGGGGGCATGTGACTATTAATGCCTCTTAACCGACCTGGTTTTCGAAACTCTGCCTGGGATGGTCAGATTTTCAACAGCCAGTCCAACCACTACAGCCCTGCAGTAGCAGGAGAGCGACAGAAGCAAGGACGGAGGTGACGTTGGCAGCAGCAGCCGAAGCAGCAGCAGTAGCAGCAATATGGGTAGTAGTGACAGAAGCAGCAGCAGGAGGGACAGATGTTGTGGTGGTAAACATAGATGACAGTGTGAAGAACAAACATTCGCCGTGTCTTACCGAATACAATGACGACGATAGCAATCAGCAGCAACAGTGCACCACCAAACGCTATGGATAACGGTATAGCAACACCTCCTTCGCTGTCACCACCATCATCGTTATCATCTATGCAGAAACCAGAAACCAGCCATGGGATACAACAATGGCAATGACAACAGAGGTAGCAGCAGCAGCAGCAACACATGGTGGTTAGTAGCTGAGATGTGATCACTTGTCACATGGAAGAAGATCAATCTACCATGGTAAACAGTGGGCATGCTACACACCTGTGGAAAGTGAAATTGCCCATTCGGGAATATGCAGTGGTATGGTAGTACTAATACATGTACCTTATGCAATGGTGTGCAGTGATAGATGCAGTCACAATGTGCAGTGATACATGCAGTGATATGCATTAACGACTGCAATCAGATTACACAACGCCTGTAGTGCTGGAGAAACGTTGTAGCCAGAGAGCAAACATATCCCAACAACAAACGCTGCCTAGAAGAGATTAACTGTAGCTCAGTTGGCTGCGACATTGCTGGTGATAACTGTAGCTCAGCCGGCTGTGATATTGCTGGTGATCAGCAAGGTTCCTACTTTTGTTTTTGCTGCTGTGAAATGTTAGCAGTTTATTCGTTCTTTTTTGGCTTACTAGTGTCGAGTTGCGGAGACAAGAGAATACTAGCTATGCACTATGACATAGTAGGCAAACGGTAGGTACGTGACTGGTGAAACACCACCGCAGTCTTAGGGTTAAGTGCCAAGGTGAACGGCGAGTATTTGGAGATTCTACCAAGTAGTTGCGTGTAAGACCGATGTGTTGCTGTTGATGGTTAGCATCAAAGTTGAACATCAATATGCTGTAGTGGAGCCGATGCATATTTCAGAAAGTGGGCAGGTGACCAAAATTGAAATTATTTTTAAACATTGCCCTAGTTAGAATACATACCACTTGTTGATACCGAGGGATTGCTAGTGGAGCTAGCCGTCACACTGTTGCTACTGCCGTCGCCCGTGCGTGTAGTCAATGTGTTCGGCGGCTGTCCTGGAGTACCAGTGGTAGTAGGAGACGTGGTGAGTACGACAGTTGTCAGATACTGTACAACCGTGTCGCTGGCTTGCTTGTAGCTAATCTGCAGGAGGATGTTCTTACGGACAGCAGCCTGGTGGCCAGTGCTACTGCTAGTGTTGACAGTGACCCATAGTCCTACATCACGTGAGCTAGGGTTGCTGGGCACACTCACATGCACAATACCAGCATCAGCATCAGCGCTGTTTGTACTCCCCGTCACGGGAGCAGTGCTAGTCGGGCTGGCAGATGGCGTGGCTGCAGTGGCACCCGTAGACGGTGCCTGCGTTCTCTGACTGTGATATATCTGCTTCTTGTCATCATACACGTTGATCTCTAGCTGGTTAAGAGCCGCAGCTGCCAGACTTGCATCGAACTGCAGGGCTAGTCTCCACTGCGTCTGCATCGCATTCAGCCGGCTTGTCTGCCAACTCCTCAGCAACAAACTGCTTGGTGGATCTTCCCATACACACTCACTCCGCGTAGAGTATCTCAAGCAGTTATTAGTGATGCCAACCTCTGGAGAAAACAATAGCAGTAGCAACAACAACAACAACAATAGAGCAACAGCAAGCGCATACACAGCATGCAAGGCACATACACGAGTGTTTGCGTTCACAAAGACACGACACGGCATGGCAAGACATGACAACAATCACGAATGCGCATATCACCATTGTCACCAAAAACCATTGTCCAGCAAAATGAATTTGTAGACCGGGAACATAAGTACCTGTACATCAAATTAGTAGTGTTGAAATTACCCACACTGCCGGACATGCATACATGTATTATTTTCTTACGTAGCATAATACAAAGATGATAGAGATGTGAAAAGTAACAACACCATACATGCTCTCTCACTCCGTAGCCTAGTAAGGTCTAAGGGCTACGGGGATCTTAGATGCAGTGATGGTAGGATTGAGCAGAAGTCATAGAAACTTCTGCTGGATGTGCGCCATGCAACAGATTGCAATGGTGAAGAATTTACCGAATTTACCGCCACTACATAACTAAGCCTGATCTATAGCCCCGGACAACTGAAGGTTGAGATGATGTCACAACTCTGAGTTTAATGCCGGCCCTATTGCCGGGTCAGCAATCAGCAGGTGCCTGAACATGATACAGACCCCCCCCCTGTGGTCTGAGTGTGACCAGGCAGGTGAGAACTGGGAGGGGGGGGGGGGGGGGGGGGTGCACTATGGATTGGTGATAGCTTGTGAATGCATGTGCTAACTCACTGGGTATGGTGATGCTTACCAACACACACGCACAAACGGACTGGAGGTGAATCGAAGGCTTCAAATTCTCATTCGGACCGGACCTTCTTTATCAAAATGAACAAGGTGGAGATTCTGGAGAAGGATGTCGAAGAATGCGAATGCCCCCCCCCCCCCCCCCCCCACACACACACACACATACACACACACACACACACGCGCACACACACACACACACACACACATACAGGTGCTTACCTCTTGTTAGTCGACCGGAGCAAACGTTTTTAACATGATTGTAGATATATCGACTGTGGGGTCTGATCCATAAGTCCACATAGGCATGCTGCAGATACACACTACATTCTTCATTAGTGACGGAGGACGTATTCCCTGATGTTCTCAACACGATCTTTTGTGGATCGGACGATACCAGTTTCGTGTTGTTCTTCTCTGTTAAATCAAATATACTCTGCAGTCATACACATACACACATGCATTCACACACACACATGCACACACACACACACACACACACACACACACACACACACACACACACACACACACCTCAGACCTCAGACATGCCCATCGCGGAAGCGATGATAGCGAACAGCTATGTTAGACATAGCAACTTGTGCTGGGATTACACCATTCAACAGCTTGCAAGGCTGATGAATTGACCGCCACTATTTTTAGCCTGGTATCCACCACACAGCTGTTTGAAGTGACTTTTTCTGGCCAGTGAATCCCTATTTTTTCCATTTTTTTCTACACACACCACACCACATACTCCGGCATACACTGGCTGTTGGTAACCACCCAGGAGAATGAAAGAAAAGTCAGGAAGACACACACACACACACACACACACACACACACACACAAGATAAGAACATAATTATAATATTCAGGGACACATACTAACACTGCGGCATGTACGGCCATGTACATGTACATGTACATGTACATGTACATGTACATGTACATGATGTACGGCACACAGCAAGGAAAGCATCATCGCATGAACTGCCATAGCTACACATGTTTAACTTACATGCATGTTGTCAGTATACCAGCTTGGAATTGACGTCACTGGACTCTACAGCCTACAGTGTACATGATACGGTGGTGTGTAGTGCAGGCAGGGGTATGATACGGTGGTGTGTAGTGCAGGCAGGGGTATGATACGGTGGTGTGTAGTGCAGGCAGGGGTATGATACGGTGGTGTGTAGTGCAGGCAGGGGTATGATCTCTGCTACATGTATGATTCTAAGCTGTTGATGTGTGTATCTACTCAATACGTCATGCCGGTATTTGCTCTACATTGCATGCACGCATACACACGCATACACACGCACACATGCATATTTCTTAAAAGAATCTGGTTCTACTGTTGAGTGTGCTTCTTCTTCCTCATGCCGTAGTCTTGGGTTGAACTTTTTTCAAGGCACATAATATTGTATTTCCGTTCCCAAGTCTTCTTCTTCAGTATCGAATTAATAATAATGTATGAGCTATGATCATTGATCAGAGTGTTACCATAGTCACCTAGCCATTGCCTTACCGAGTTGGGCAGCTGTACATATGGTATCTGTACCATGTCTGTAGCTATGCGCTGTTCTGTTAGGTTACTGCTGTAGAGATGATAGACACTGTGATGGGACGTACACGCCACCATGGTGATCCCAGTGCAGCAGAACTGATCCAAGCCTGTAGGAAATATAGTACACACACAAACACACACACACACACACACACACACACACACACACACACATACACACACACACACACACTTGTACTGGTGTTTCCTCAACACAGAAGCCAGTCCCCCCCCCCCCCCACACACACACACCCTCGAGAGATTCAGGACAGAAGAAGTCTTGGAAAGATGACTTAATTGACCAATGAACCGTCCAACGGCCGACCCCCGTACTCCCCACGGAGATAGCACTTTGACTTATGGGCTTACCACACTATTGTGGCTGAGGACAAGGCGCAGAAAAAGTACTGATGGTGTCTGGATATACATCCCAGCATCTATCTGCATTACGTGACCCTCTCCTCCCATGAAGGTAGTACTGGTTGCTAGTATACTGTAATTTTACAAATTTTCGGTGTACTTTTATTTTCGGTACTTTCGGTGTGTCCGAGTGTTTCATACCTAAATTTTCAATACACCGAACAAACACTAACACACATAATTAAATAGGGAACTGCTTCCCTGTACCTACATTTTCTGTTCACCTAATCTGGCCTTTTGCCCTCATACCGAAAATATTGAGAACCGAAAATTTCTGAAATTAGAGTACCCCGCTATTATGATTTGACGCTGAAACAATAATAATGTAGCATGGACAATATACATCTTCAAACAGCCACACACATAATATAAACCAATCGAAAAAACTGATCCCCCCCCCCCCCCCCCCCCCCAACACACACGCAAGCAAACACACAAGCAAACACACACACACAAACACACACACACACACACACACCATGTACCATGTATACGCCCCGTGCGTGCCACTAACCTGGCGATGAGCAGGTATTGGCTGCGTTTGTTGGGACGATGAGCAAAGCCGAAGCGAGAGCCAGCAGCCCGTAGTAGAACACACTATAGCTAATACTAACAGAAATGGATGATGATTGCGACCATAATCCACCTGGTCTTCTTCTTATACTGCCTGGGCCTAGCTGCAGCCATGTTCTTGTCCCAATCCGGTGATCTTTGTCACGTGTGTGTGTGCACCGCTTTCTAGCCATGCAGCAAATCTTGCAGAGCGATTCCTGAACAGCCCTAACACCAGCAACGCTGCATTGATCCGGCCACTGCGTACACGCCATTGTCCACAACGTACAGATGTGGCTCAATACTCAATACGTTGATTGTAGAGGCGACGGAGAGTCATTCTGCCGACACGCAGGCCTGGTGGAAGAACCTTCAACGTCGCAGACACACCACGACCCTCCCAGCCTTGCCAGGTCAGTTAGTCACTTGGCTTGCTTCGCCAGCGCCCGGTAGATCCACACACAGAGTAAAAAAAGGTCAAGTAACTCCACACACGTAGACTCTACACCAAGCCGCTCCTAGTCCTAGTTAGCGTGTAGGAACACCCTCGGTGCAGGCAGGCGCTAGGTAAGCGTGCGCTGGTGTCTCCGGAGGCCGGATGATATATATGAGGGAAAGGACACGAGACCAGCACTCGCACGTCGGGTGTAGGCCATAGGGCGCGCTCAATCTCTCTGCAGATCTGGAGATAAAAAAATGCTACTATCTTTCTTATTCTGAGGTTCTCCAAATTTCAAAGCACAAAAAAATTGATGTTGTTGAAACCAGAGCTAGAGCTAGAGTAAAATTTTAGCTTTCGAAATACACTACAGCCAGACTACACTACAGCCAGACTACACTACAGCCAGACTACACTACAGCAATAACTGACTTTCTGTACACAGTGAAACTATCAATGGTCTTGGGGACTCAGGTCTTGATCTAAGTCAATAACTGCTCCCAGCCGTGTTCCTTCGAGTACTAGTGAGCTCACAGAGAAAATGATGCCTGATGTGGACGGTGGAAGGACAATGCAACAATGAGCAATGAACGTAGAACACCCGTCACAACATCATTTCCAGCTAGCTCAAATGACTCGCTTCTGTCACTTGTCAGTACTAACACTAGCGGTTGCCACTGCCAGCGCGAAAGACTGCAAGCAATGAGTGAATGACATTGTGTACTTGGCAATGCTCACTGCACTAGCGCGGCGCTTTCGGAAAGTCGGAAAAATCGCTTCCCGATCCGAGAAAACGCGACTGTCGGCGATCGCGAGGCCACTGTCTCTGTCCTTGGATCATGGTTGGAGTACAGACTCACTCAGCTGTGTTCATAATGTCAGTAAGTACAATGTCAATGTACCTACATGTACCTACGTAAAGACTCGTGATGATTATGTTACCTACTGTTTGTGTATGTACACGCACCGACTTCACGCGTACGCCAGTACAAGTAAAAGCACACTAGTCACTGTCGACCGTCACTCTGTCCACATGTCACGGGTTAGACCTCTACGGACATTCTGTGTAAAGGCTAGTGTCTGGCAATGACGTTGAGACTTTGAGTCGTGCACGCGTGCGTGCTCGCTGTTGTTCTGTTTGCTTCGGCAAATGCTTTTTACAATGAATGGTGCCATAATACTGTATAAGTACAAATTTTCGTTTGGAAATAACTTTCGCTATAATATTCGTTTAATAGGGGGCACGAAATAATGAAAGTTTGTACCAAACTAAAGTTTTTTTTCTGAACGTTCGGGGTGACAGACCTCGACCAAAACGAAAATTAGCACGTAACGTAACAAGCCTGCTGGTGGAGCGATATAACGAAAGATTTCGTGAACGAAAATTAATAATTTGTACTTGTACAGTACATCTGAGCTCGCCAGTCTAGTCTGTCCTCGGAGCCCCCCCCCCCCGCGCAGTCCATATATGCAGCTGGACATTTTGGTAGTTTAGGCATACATGTATTAGTGTAGCCATAATAGGCACTACTAGTAGATAGTACAATATAGCACAATCATTACATCATTACAAGTCATGTACTAGTAACAGTGACTGAGTGTACTCATGTACTAGTAACAGTGACTGAGTGTACTCAGGTGGAGCTGTGTGTGGCATGTCCGGCATGTCCAGCATGTCCGGGTAGCGAGTTTCGATTTTCCCACTACACAGTGTCACTAGTGCTGCACTCTGCACTTCAGTTGACAACCCCCCCCCCCCCCCCCCTTTTATGTACTCTACTAAGTAAAGACAAAACTCAAAAGCAGTGATTGCTGTGCAGACCTGGCCGGGATGATCAGTGTCCTATAGCCTAGTACTACATGACTGCGGTACAGTAGTAGTATCATGCCCAGTCATGGTATGCTGGCTGCCAGCAGTTCTTTAGTGTCACATTATCAGTGCTGCCAAATAATTTTCGCCCAAAATTGGACACCCTTCATCGCCAAGGCTGGCCACATGGTGCGAATTTTTCTCCTCAGCATTTTTTTCCGGAGAATTCGAAATACCGCCCAAAATACCATGAAAATTCGCTCCGTTGTCATGGTAACCGATCTTGCACACCGAAGTAATTGGTTGCCATGCTTGAATTCTGTAATCCTGGTAATGCAGGAGTGTGGTCACACACTGTACAGTGTACATGCCCTCGTACTTTGCACTTCCACCGCCAAGAGCTAGCCTTTTTAGAAGCACATGACAGTGATTTGTGCCTTCAGTTGCGCTGAAAAGTGGAAAATACAGGACTTCTGAATAGGAAAGTACTGATCCCTGACATTTTTGGCTACTTTTCGGACGTTTTTCGAAAGAGCCTTCAAAAATCGGACGGTTTGGCAGCACTGCATGATTATGACCATAGTGTAGGATAATGACGCAGTGTTGACTGATGAGTACTGTATTTTCCACAGTACATGTTACTGTCATGTATAAAGCCACAGTTTGAACACTCAGAACTCACCCAAAAAATAGTCGGACACCGATAGCGCGATATCGCTCCGTGTGTAACCACTTTTGCTACCTCATAGCGTGCTATTGCGCTACTTCATGTTCTCTGTATAAAAGAGTGCTACTCATAAGTTCTGGCTGTTTAGTATTCTCACAACCCTCACTGATGAGATCTGTATGATCGAAATAGCTGTATGGAGGAGTTTATGCAGGGGCGTCACCCGTGATGGGCACGGGGGGCACGTGCACCCCCCTAAAAAATTCGACCTTGGTTTTTTTGTGAACTCCTGGTTATGAAAAGTGTAGTGCTGGTAGAATCTACTAATAAACTGCATGCACTAAAACTAGTTGTACTGTGCTGCCGTGATCGCGCGAGTGCATGTAGCAAGTGCAAGTACGAGTACGACTCGTAGATTAGTTACACTAGTTACACTAAAGTGGCACCAAATCATGGCAAATGCCTGAAAATGCTTGCAATTGCCTTCAATTTTTGAATTTTTTCCCGGGGGAGGATAATGAAGAATTCTTATCCCCGATCGTAGCGTCTTCTCGGCTTGTTGCAGAATCAAAAAGTCTTTCATTGTAGTTACACTGAAATGGCACCAAATGCCCGGAAATGCTTGCAATTGGCTTTAATTTTTGAAATTTTTCCCGGGGGAGGGCCCCGTACCCCATGGCCACCCCACTTCCAAAGTCCGTGCGACGGGCCTGCTATCAGCGAACTTTTTCGTGTTTTCCTGTGCAAAATTCCTGTGCACCCCCCTGTGAAGGGGTCCGGTGACGCCCCTGTTATGCCGTGCCAGTATCTACAAGCTGGAACTCTGTGTTTTTGTATTTTTAAAAGGATTCCCCAAAGGCTGTTCGAGGGGGTTTCGTGTTTTCGCTTGATGGATGAGATACGTGGGATGATGGGAGAACTGGTAAGAGAGGGTGTTGTTGGTATTGTGAATAATGAGATTCATATGGTCAAAACTGAGATTTGGACTAATGTTGGCTTTGGCCCTGGAACTAAGGTATTGTCACCATGCCTGTTTATGGTGTTGTGTAGGCAGGCAGGCGGGTCTATAATTGCGTAGGTCGGTAGATACGAGTTCGTATTTACAGTAAAACTTGCCCTAACCGGACGCCCTTGGTGCAGAAGAAACTATCCTGATATGACCGGATCCCACTTGATCCAGGGATGCTCTCTCGATCCACAGCACTTTGGTACATGACAATATGCCCGGTCAACACAGGTTTCCGCTTGATCCAGGGTCCAGCAAACACAGGTTTATTTGTACTACATGTATATACTTCGAAGTACAATCATGTAGGTTGGGTGCGACATAACGATTCTGACAGGAGAACTGTTTGCTCTGAAATGTGCACAACACTCTTCTGTAAGAAACACCATTCACAGCATATGTTCTGACTTCTGCTCCTCTTTCCCTTCCAGTATACTGTGCCAGTCCAGTATACACTCATATCTGTGTTATCCGGACCTCGAAGTCATGGACACCTCAGCCCACGGACACCCTGTTGGTGAGTTGTAGTCATATAATTACTACTCCCTTGCCAAATTCTGTGGATAGTGACGTCGTATGCCGGATATCTGGCCCTTCCCCATCGAAACAATCGAGATTCAGAGTTACAGACGTTCAAAGTTTCGTGCCGTGCCCAGTCCCGGAATGTCCCGAGACCCAGCTGCCATGTTGTGGTGTAATGGCAGCATCCTAGACAAGTACTGCGCACGCATGCACACACACACACACACACACACACACACACGTACACACACACACACACACACGTACACACACACGTACACACACACACACACACGTACACACACACACACACACACATAACTGTTACACACACACACACACACACACACACACACACACACACACACACACACACACACAAACACACATTGCTCGGGTGGATGGTGCGCGGCCGGCGAAATTGAATCGCATTTGCCCGGGGGGCAAGTAATATCAGGGTTGGCAAGAGCCAAGAGCCCACTGATGCACACACACACACACACACACACACACACACACACACACACACACACACACACACACACACACACACACACACACACACACACACACACACACACACACACACACACACACACACACACACACACACACCTGCACTGGCAGTATGAGACAGATTGCACGGTTGGGCTTGTTGAGTTGAGAAGCATTGTACTGTAGAAGCATTGTCACCAGCTGCATGCGACATGAAATAATGGTATGATGACATTGCTCACGGTTTATGCATACAGCAGTGGTTGGAGAATATAATTAAAATTGAAATTCACAACTCACAATGTAGGGATTAGAGGGAAGGCAAAGCATGATAGCGGTCCAGAATAACATTGAGCAGTATCAGCAGCTGCTAGGCTCAACGTCAGGGTTATAGCATGCCAATAGCTACACCACACCTGCCATAATCGGATGGCATTCCAAAGCAAAGAAAAGGAGAGACATCAGTTTTCTCTGCTGAGTGGCACCCAGTCCGGGAAAATCAGTTTTCTCTGCTGAGTGGCACCCAGTCCGGGAGAATCATTGGAAATAGAAATGATAACATTGTGGCTAGTATAGCTATCGAGACAGCTCCCCATAGCCTGCTGCCATGGTGTGCATACCGGCCTGGCGAGTGTGACCGAAATCAATACACCAGCAATGCTGATAGTCAGGTCTAGTATGGTTAACCTTGCTAGTATGCCCGGTATGGATGGGGACATGATATTATAAATATCAGCTTACAATTGTCAAAACATAGTCTAATAAAGCCATCACCTCATGCAGCCGACTACTGGCCGCCTTCCGCGTACACATTCTCTCAAAGAAATAGGTTTACACTCATAACCGGCCAGGTCTTGATCACTAACACATATCCAGGGAAATGGTAGCCAGTGGTAGTAAAGCAATACACACACCTGCACGCATGCACACACATACACATGCACACACGTACACACACACACACACACACACACACATGCACATACATGCCAGCACACACACACATGCACATACATGCCAGCACACACATATACACACATTATATACACAAACAAATGTAATGGGAGCAACGGCAAGGCACGGAACACTTCAAGGAACCATCTGACCAGTTCAAGTCAATATTGTTCAACTCCCGGGGGGGGGGGGGGGGGGGTACACTGCAGACATGTGTACACTGCATACTGCAACTGGCTTTGGTGGTGCTAGAGCTGGGGATACTTCCACGAAGTATTTTCCGTGGGAGAAGATGTCGTTATCACGGCTGCTGTCGTGGCAATAATTCGGTTACAGCGAGAGGTGTTGCGGTGATGATTGTTCAATACTCCTATCCAATTTCCAATGCATTGGCTCAATATTGCGTGGTGGGATCTGTAATGCTGTGTCCTGAAGCATTTTGTGGATTAGTGGAGACTGCTCAGTGCTCAGCTTGTGCATTATTCAAAAAGGCAGAATGTGGAGCTTTGCCAACTCTATTGGGTACGCTACTATCTTCAGTAGCTTGTACTGCCTGCACCGGTGAAAGCGGACCACCAACAGCTTGCACCATTATACTTGAACCGTCCATACCATGCCCTGGTACAGGGAGATCATCCATAGCATGTTCTAGTGCAGGGGGATCGCCCATAGCATCATCCGCGTCCATAGCATCATGTTCCGGTGCAGGGGAATCGTCCATAGCATCATGTCCCGGTGCAGGGAGATCGTCCATAGCATCATGTCCCGGTGCAGGGGGATCATCAACAGGGGGATCATCAACAGGTCTCGTGAATCTTCTAATAATGATGATAAGCAGAATGAGAACGGCAATACCACAAAGCAGGCCTACTATGAGGCCTGTCACGTGCAGCTGAGATGTATCTGTGTGAGGAGGTGTACCTGCAATGAACACATAGGGTAACACAAGAACAGTCTACATGAGTGGGAGAGCGTGTGAGTGGGCAAATGTGTGAGTGTGTGAGTGGGACAGTGTATGGGTAGGAGAGTGCATGAGTGTGGGAGTGTGTGAGTGGGACAGTGTATGAGTGTGAGAGCATGTGAGTGGGAGAGTGCATGGGTGGGAGAGTGCGTGAGTGGGAGAGTGTATGGTTGGGCGAGTGCATGAGTGGACGAGTGCGTGAGTGGGCGAGTGTGTGAGTGGGAAAGTGTGTGAGTGGGCAAGTGAGTGAGTGTGAGAGTGTGTGAGTTGAGAGTGTGCGAGTGGGCGAGTGCGTGAATGGGATAGTGCGTGGGTGGGAGAGTGTTTGAGTGGGAGAGTGCGTGAGTGGGCAAGTGCGTGAGTGGGCAAGTGCATGAGTGAGAGAGTGTGAGAGTGCGCGAGTGTGGAGTGCGTGAGTGGGAGAGTGCATGAGTGGGAGAGTGTGTGAGTCGAGAGTGTGTGAGTGGGCGAGTGTGTGAGCGGGAGAGTGCGTGAGCGGGAGAGTGCGTGAGTGGGCGAGTGCGTGAGTGGGCAAATGCGTGAGTGGGCGAGTGTGAGAGTGTGTGAGTATGAGAGTGCATGGTTGGGACAGTGTGAGAGTGCGAGAGTGTTTGAGTGGGAGAGAGCGTGAGTGGGAGATTGCATGAGTGGGAGAGTGCGTGAGTGGGAGATTGCATGAGTGGGAGAGTGCGTGAGTGGGAGAGTGCTTGAGATGAAACAAAGTGATCAGTTTTTATTTTTCATTGCTATCAGGTTCGGCCTCATTTTCTCTGTGCTGCACTGATGATTCCACAAAGGTCGAAACAGTTCTATCCGTAGATTGAGTATTTCGTTCCTGCTCTTCTAGCAGTTGAACACTCTTATTTTGAGTAGTGGCTTTGCTGTTTGCGTTATGCAGAGCTCACTGACTTGTCAGTTTGAGCACTCTGGCAAGGTACATTCAGGCCTGGTTTAAATCTGGCTTTGGATAATTTATTTTTCATTGCTATCAGGTTCGGCTTCATTTTCTCTGTGCTGCGCTGATGAGTTCACAAAGGAGGAAACAGTTCTGTCTGCAGATTGAGTAATTGCTGTTTTAGTCATTTTTGCTTTATTCCCTATAAGAGACCATGAAGAGAAGGGAACGAAAATGTTTGTTCCTAAAATTTCCTAGTGTTCATTAGGACTGATGTGGATTGTGCAGATGCATGCACTGTATTGAAGAATTTTTAAAGGATTGCGAGAACTTCAAATGGCAAAAGATCAGTCGGCGAAATGATGTACCTTTTAAAAGAAAAGAAAACGACAATCCCACCAGGAGTCAAACCCAGGACCTTGCTTGTCATGAGCAATGCTCTAACCATCTGAGCTATGGGACCAGGCTGCCCGTGGCTGGTCCCCTGGCGGAGGGAAAAGATCCAAATGCCATCAGCATACTTGCCAACCAACCTAGCCAAAGCAAATCCCTTAGTCACACACACACACACAGTTTCCCTTACTCAGTTTCTCTCATTCCCCCTTATTTTGCTGGTTTTCACCGATTTTGGCCATTTTCTCTTTTTTGTGTAGCTTTTGAGTATTTTTGCATATTTTACGCACTTTTTGCCCAATTTGTTTCTTTCTTTTCATTCAGTTCTAACCCATTGCATATTGTCATTATCGGGCTAGTACTACGTATTATGAGAGCTAGCCACAGGAAAATGTCCAATACTACATGTACTTAGTTACGCACAAGCATGCAGTTAACTCCCTAGTTACGCAGTCTGGTAGTAACTGAGGGCAAGAATGAGGTAAGGAGTTCATGCGTCACCAAACTGGCCGCCTTCAAGTCAAGCGCGTTCTTGCCTGCTTTTAGCTTTACGCCCATGTTTCTGTACCTGTGCTGGAACTGCTCTATTTCGCCGCCACTATTTACCATTAGCCATGTCTCCCCTCCCCCCCCCCCCCCCCCCCCTCCCCTCCCCTTCACCTTACACAGTGGGTCCATTGTTATTAGGCATCTGCCTGTTTTGCTTTCTCCACTATCAATAAAAGAATACTACTATGCGTGCGATGGGGCCCCCGGGTGTAAGGGCGGGCCAGTGCAACAAGCCTTATCAAAGGAAGTAAAAGACTCAGTGTCCTGTAAAAGGTCAATGTTAGCTCTGAGAGTACTACACTTAAGGCTTGGTAGGAGCTCCCAACAAGAGTGGCAAGAGTGACGTGTTCATTGGGGGGCCAAAACCTGAGTTTCTTCAATATCAGATCGCCTCTACATGTGTGATTCTGTGAATGCAGGGCTGCATATGCCCTTATCACACCACGAAACAACCTTTTTCTGAACACTCACGGTTCAGGGCCAATGATTTCCGTAGTTTTTCGATCGATGTGAAAAATCCCCGGTATGCCAGTAGTTACTCTCTAGTTTTCCGGTAGTATACCGGGAGAACCGGTACCGCGGTATGGTTGGCAAGTATGCATCGAAGCCTTTGAAGTGAAACACTTGTCAGCACCTTCTAGGTTTGACCTGGTCCCATAGCTCAGATGGTTAGAGCATTGCTCATGACAAGCAAGGTCCTACGTTCGAGTCCTGGTGGGTCTGGCATTTTTTCTCTTTTCAAGCAGTTCACTTCCCCCACTGATCCTTTGGAATTCGAAGTTCTCTCTATCCTTAAAAAAAAAAAGTTAATTAGAACACTATGATTTTGTTGTTGGTCTTGGTCGGTGTGTAATCTTGGTCTGCATGTAAGATTTGAGTACAGATACATAACTACTTGTCACATACTCCATGTTATTCACATACTTTGCTAGACATCAGTATGCCTAGCAAAGCTAAGGTCCTGCGCTCTTTATGGTAGGGCTGTCATCGGGTAGTAGGGTACCCGTGTTACCCGTAATTAGATTGGGTATTCGAGTAGCAGTTTGCTCCTGAGAACCCGATCGGGTAGTCGGAGTATGGTGTTTTTGCAACGGTGCATGTAAAAAGCACGGCTACATGCTTACTGTACACTTTCTATGTAGCGCAAGTGCATACTCACTGTAGATACAGTTATGTCGAAAAAACCCCGGTAGAGTAGCCGTGCTACCCGGATAGGAATACCCGAAGTAGTTACCCGATCGAACTCCTACCAGTTGCAGGCCTACTTTATGACGTACGTGTGTATTGTGTGTGTGTGTGTGGGGGGGGGGGGGGGGGCGCATGGATTCCGTGGCCAAGAGATCACGTTGAGCAGCCAAGAGGCGTTGATTACAATCATGTCAGTAGCCGATCGCATTGTCCATGTGTACACTGCGCCTTGCACAGAGTAATAGGGTGCCATCGAGCCGCGCACATGTACATGAAGTAGTGACAAAACACAAGGACTTGACAGTTGATACCTAGGCGCCTATGTCCTGTAAGTGTCCCATGGCATTTCACACATCCCACGGAGGTTTTCCAGTACGCGGAGATGGCAACCAAATTCAGGGCCCAAGAGCGCAAGCTACCTTGTTGTGACCGAGCATTGATACAGGTTACCTGTGATAATATTTGCACCTACTCACATAAACATGAAGACTAGTAAGTATTGGTCTCTCAGGGATCATCTGGAAAATCTGGACAAGCCTGCCAGTGTTTGTGTTTTTCTCTCAAACCAGTGAAAACCTGCCAGTGTTTGTGTTTTTCTCTCAAACCAGTGAAAACCTGCTAGTGGCTGGATTTAGGTCTTACCCCCCCCCCCTCCCCCCTCCCCCCCCGCCTTCGGTCACTGTAATAGTCTCTTTTCCAAACATGTGATGACATGCACTTACTTGTCTGGAAAGTTGTTGCTATTCTTCGTGAAGTCCTGCCAGCTATCGCAGTAGTTGAGTCTGTAGTTTTCTCTGTTACCGGTGTACCTGTGCCTGGACAGAAGAGAACAGCACTCGTCCTAGTGTGCTTTAAAAAGGAGCATGCTGCACTGTACACTGCACTGTACACTGCACACCGCTTCACTTACAACATGTATCTCTCTCTCTTATCCAGACTTCAAAGTGCGCCTCACGTCTACTGGACATCCTGTGTGGGTAGTTCTCAGTGAAAGTATTTGCAACTCTTTTGCCAATTTGGTGGAAATAGTGACATCATGTGTCAGATCTCTGGCCCTCCCCCCACTGACACCTATGTGATTCGGAGTTACGGACATTTTAAAGTTATGGGCAGTGCCTGGTCCCGGACCGCCCGAGAAGTGACATGAATGTGTGTGCGCACGTGATAACGTTGGACGTTTATTCGGGCTTCCCTTGTAGTAGTATCTCTCCTCTACAACGTGGTGCATAACTGTACCATTTTGGAGAAGAAGACTATGAGAGTTATCCACTTCCAAGAAGTATTTTTTAATGTCTAGCAGGGTTCTAGCCAAAGGAGGTGGGGTGCCCCGCTACTTTGATCGCGCCCCCCCCCCCCCCCCCCCCCCTGTGAAAAAGTGGCGCCCTCCTACTTGCTGGTCGATTTTTGTGTTTTTTCATGCCATTCAACGAAAATGCAGTCGATAGTCACTACAAGAGGGTTCATAAAGGCACATTGGTCTGGGGTGAAGTTGAGGGTTCGCCCTGTACGTTGCATTTTGCATAGCAAGGTAATTTTGGAAATGGAGAATGGGTTAAAGGGGAAGTTAAGGCAAAAAATAAATTTCACCAGCTGTAGTCTTCGGGGTGCTGAGTCGAATGGTCTTGGTCCGAGAAAGCTGAGACGCTCCCTTCCTACTTGAATCCCAATCGAACTCGCGCACTTCCACCAAAACTGGGTGACTGCGCCCTAATAGATGGGGATTTGTATGCAAAATGTCACTAAAAGCGCCATTTCGTTCTTATAAAAGCACGGATGACCGCGATTGGCCCATATGTTGTAGTCTTTTGGACGCTGAGTCGACTGGTTTTGGTCCGAAAAGGCTGCGATGCAGCGTTCCTCCTCTATTCCCAATCGAACATGGTTGAACAAGCGGTCACGTGCTCCTGCGTACACCAGTCACCTGGTCACCGTGCCTGCAGGGTACAACTTACTAGCCTGTTTGACCTTTTTTGGGTGCAGTCCTGTCACTCGAGTTGAACTCGAGTTGAACCTTGGTGTGAAAGTTGTCGCCTGCTGGCGTGGTGACCAGGTGATTTTGGCACCCAGGAGCACGTGACCACTTGTTCAACCATGTTCGATTGGGAATAAAGGAGGAACGCTGCATCGCAGCCTTTTCGGACCAAAACCAGTCGACTCAGCGTCCAAAAGACTACAACATATAGGCCAATCGCGGTCATCCGTGCTTTTATAAGAACGACATCGCGCTTTTAGTGACATTTTGCATACAAATCCCCATCTAGTAGGGCGCAGTCACCCAGTTTCGGTGGAAGTGCGCGAGTTCGATTGGGATTCAAGTAGGAAGGGAGCGTCTCAGCTTTCTCGGACCAAGACCATTCAGCTCAGCACCCCGAAGACTACAACTGGTGAAATTTTAATTTTTGCCTTAACTTCCCCTTCAGACTGGCGTAAAAAACAAGCGGAATGTGAAAGTTGTCAAGGGGAATCGCTCACGTGACGTTCCCGCCAGCGTAAACACGGAAAAGGTTTCCCACCACTCTGCAGGCCAGTGGAATGCAGATTCCGGCGGCACGCGGAGCGCTTTTGATATCCTTGCAGCACATGTTCCGTCTTTTCGTTTTATTTCAGCCTCTACTCTTTCAGTCTGACTGCATGCTTTTGAGTTTTGAGTTTTGACTTCTAGACTGCCAACTTCTCCCATCATGCCGAAATCTTTGTTCGACTCAGCAATGGAGAGGGAGTTCATGGAGCTGTACGTGGTGATTTTTGCGGGCCGCTCTGAAGGCAAAACGCTTACTGCGAACGAGAAGCATACTCTGATCGCGAAGCGGATGAATGCCTCCGAAGCACCAATCACTCCGGACATAGTATATTTTCCGTCGACAAGCACAAGCAAAAGCACAATGATCCCCGGGATTACGCTTAAAGGGGAAGTTAAGGCAAAAATTAAAATTTCACCAGTTGTAGTCTTCGGGGTGCTGAGTCGAATGGTCTTGGTCCGAGAAAGCTGAGACGCTCCCTTCCTACTTGAATCCCAATCGAACTCGCGCACTTCCACCGAAACTGGGTGACTGCGCCCTACTAGATGGGGATTTGTATGCAAAATGTCACTAAAAGCGCCATTTCGTTCTTATAAAAGCACGGATGACCGCGATTGGCCCATATGTTGTAGTCTTTTGGACGCTGAGTCGACTGGTTTTGGTCCGAAAAGGCTGCGATGCAGCGTTCCTCCTTTATTCCCAATCGAACATGGTTGAACAAGCGGTCACGTGCTCCTGGGTGCCAAAATCACCTGGTCACCACGCCAGCAGGCGACAACTTTCACACCAAGGTTCAACTCGAGTGACAGGACTGCACCCAAAAAAGGTCAAAACAGGCTGTAAGTTGTACCCTGCAGGCACGGTGACCAGGTGACTGGTGTACGCAGGTTACGTCGCAGGAGCACGTGACCGCTTGTTCAACCATGTTCGATTGGGAATTAGGGGCGAACGCTGCATCGCAGCCTTTTCGGACCGAAACCAGTCGACTCAGCGTCCAAAGGACTACAACATATGGGCCAATCGCGGTCATCCGTGCTTTTATAAGAAGGAAATGGCGCTTTTAGTGACATTTTGCATACAAATCCCCATCTCGTAGGGCGCAGTCACCCAGTTTCGGTGGAAGTGCGCGAGTTCGATTGGGATTCAAGTAGGAAGGGAGCGTCTCAGCTTTCTCGGACCAAGACCATTCGACTCAGCACCCCGAAGACTACAACTGGTGAAATTTTAATTTTTGCCTTAACTTCCCCTTTAAGCTTTCCGGCGGCTATTCATGCCAGTCTGAACGCGCCCTAAAAGGGTAACTTTCCCATGCCTCCCCCCCCCCCCCTACTATTTTGACCTGGCTAGAACCCTGTCTAGTCATAACTAAGTTTAAGCGGTGTTTCCTGTGTTGGGCCCTACAGCACATTACTCGGCAATCTTCACTCGGCTGAATTCTCAACGGAATATACTTCACGCTAGCAGCGGTAGCCACAGTACTATTCCCATGCACACATTGAATTCAGTTATCAAGCGTCTGGACAAGGTCATACACTACCTGAGATCATAAGTCCAGTATCATCCCAATTGCCTAGGAAATATATCATCTCCAAATGTAACCAAGAATAGTTCATGCACGTACTTCAAAAGAAGTATAATATCAACACAAAATCTCACATCTTTCCTTCCCTGATTTTTCAGTGGACTGACAGCATCTGAATGTGAGGCGTTCGCTGAAACCTGTGTTTAGAGGCTGGAGTTCACTGAAACCTGTGTTTAGAGGCCGCTCTATGATGCACACAATACCCCGCCCGGTCTCTACAGACAGGTGGCCTTTCAACTTTGATTCCAATGTATGTACTTCAAAGTAGCAACATGGTATGGTCCTGAAATGACCAGTCTCACAAGACAGGTGGCCTCTAACACAGGTGGCCTCTAACACAGGTGGCCTCTAACACAGGTTTTACTATACAGTTGACTCCTGATGTGAGAAACATCAGTGTGCAGGGTACCTAGTTCTTCATAACAAACATCAGTGTGCAGGGTACCTAGTTCTTCATAACAAACACCAGTGTGCAGGGTACCTAGTTCTTCATAACAAACATCAGTGTGCAGGGTACCTAGTTCTTCATAACAAACATCAGTGTGCAGGGTACCTAGTTCTTCATAACAAACACCAGTGTGCAGGGTACCTAGTTCTTCATAACAAAAACGAATGACATGCTGTTTTCTTAACTTATAAAATGTCATACCTGGCACGTGACCATGCACTTGGTTTCCATACTCCCCTACAAAATATGGTTCGTTTCAAGCGAAAAGTTTCCTACAAATGGTCAATCTTCTACGAGTCCAAACAGGAAATGAACAATAGATCGCAATATCACGAAATGCGCTACACGTGAATTCGTTATACTGATGCGGCTTTGGCCGCACCTGGCGCATCGGTTCCGACGCCCCTGTTCAATGTGGGATTAACTGTACAATCATGTAGATATGTGTGTGTTTGTCAGTAGTACTGGCTGACGGGAATACGCGCAGCCATGCATTGCCAGACATGATTGGGTTGACTTACTTGGTGTATCCGGTGAACACGCCGGTAATGTGAACTCCAGGATGCTTGTGACGACTGTTCCTGAACGTATGTAGCTCATAGAGACAGCATGGATCTGTGAGTTACAGATATTATGCAACTCGATGGAGGCCGTCTGGTTATCCACGGAATTAACCGTGGTGTTGTCAGGCGTTACGCCGACAATCTGCAGGCTCTCAAGAATTGCCTGCTCCAAGGGCTGCTGCCATGTCAGGTTGATATGCGCCACCTTATCCTTGAGTGTCGTACGAAGACTAATCTTCATGTCAATGAAATCGGCTGTAACAGATCCAATCCCGCCATGACAGTTGGGTGTTAGGCAAGTTTGGAATCGGCACCGCGATGGATATTGAGGGATGAATCCCAGATTAGTGCTTCCGTCGATAGCAAACAGTGTGACTTGTCCAAATCTGGATAGTCTTCCACTGCAGTTATCGATCTTGCAATGCTGTACATCATTGCAGCCTAATACTATCTGCAATGGATAATGAGCAACAACAACGACAACAACAACGATGACGACGACAACAAAAGCAGCAGCAGCAGCAGGAACAACTTAATATACACATGCATGCTTGAGCACACAACACGTTTCGCACATTCACGCACCGACGTGCATGTAAACGCATGCACACACACATACACACACACACACATGTGCACGTTAACACACGCATGCACGTATATGCATGTAAACACACGCATCATGCCATGCTTGCACGCCCACAAGAAAACATATGAAGTCAAAGTTAGTTGTACACGCCCATTAGTATCTACATGTTGGGAACAGGACATTAGTATCTACATGTTGGGAACAGGACGGCCGCAGGGTAGAGGGGACGGCTCGATACCGGGACGCTTTGACAGCCAAATTTGTATAGACCCAAACCGATCATCAGCGTTGATTTTTCACTCGAAATATGTTTGTGGAAGGAAACTGGCATGTTGAAGTTTGCTCTGGGGCCAGAGTCAATGGAACTGAGCCACTCCTTTGTGTTGACCCATTGCCTCCAAGTTGCCCAATTTTTCGCTTCAAAAAAGTTCAAATCAGAGGTGGCTCCAAACCGGACACGTTTTAGAGTGCACGTCAAATTCACTCTGGGTCTGAAATTAGGTAATTGCTATCGCTCCACGACGGCCAGTACAGAGTAACAATAAGCCTTGTGTGTGCTTCCATTAGTTTTGATTGGTATGCGGTGCTTTATTGGCGAGAGGCGAGCCGCTGTTTACCTGCGACAAGAAGTTGATTTTGCGAAAGTCGTAAAACTCAAGTTGCAGTGCGAAGCAACACGTCAAAAACGCACCTGCTTGATATGGCGCTTCTGGTCATCGCAGAGCCATGAAATTTTGGCTCGAAGTATAACACATCGTAGTCTCACTGTGACATATGTTTTCTAATCAAAATACCAAGAGAGAAAGTGAATATTGAGTCCGTTCCGGTTTGCAACCTGTGTCCTATTTGAAACCGTCCCCTCTACTTTAAACCTTAAAAAAGAACCCTCACCACCATACACCACCATACACCACCATACACCACCATACACCACCATACACCACCATACATCACCATACACCACCATACACCACCATACACCACCATACACCACCATACACCACCATACACCACCATACACCACCATTCACCACCATACACCACCATACACCACCATACACCACCATACACCACCATACACCACCATACACCACCATACACCACCATACACCACCATACATCACCATACACCATCATACACCACCATACACCACCATACACCACCATACACCACCATACACCACCATACACCACCATTCACCACCATACACCACCATACACCACCATACACCACCATACACCACCATACACCACCATACACCACCATACACCACCATACACCACCATACACCACCATACACCACCATACACCACCACACACCACCATACACCACCATACACCACCATACACCACCATACACCACCATACACCACCATACACCACCATACATCAGCAATGGACTGTTCAACACACCACAGAGTCATAGATCAGAAGAGAACAGATGCAGAGATTCTTTTGGCACTGCCACCAGAAAACACACTATTTTGAATCTTGTAGGTGCACGCCATGCTTACAAAGTGTTTGTTTCCATAATATGCGTTCCACATGCGCAGAGGCGTGACCATCTGTTGCACTCCTACCCCATCTCTAGTGAATGTCGCTTGTATGACTTCCAGGGGACAGTATAGATCCAGAAGTGCGCTACAGTAACGTACTAGGAAAGGAGGAAAGCAGAGCGGCAAAAACAAGAACATAAACTTCAATGATGATTGCAGTGTTTCAACTGCACTAATGCCGGTCTTGCGTTTTACACTCAGTCCATGAAACAAATGCTGCATGATTTGTACTGTAGAGCTGAATATGCGTATACAGTAATACCTGTGTGTGTGTGTGTGTGTGTGTGTGTGTGTGTGTGTGTGTGTGTGTGTGTGTGTGTGTGTGTGTGTGCGTGGCTGTGTGGCTGTGTGTGCCGTGACGCTGTCGACTCTATTGTTCAGTCCCGCACTTGTGCACGCAGTTGTCGTCGGCCACAGTATATTGCGAGGCACAAGTGTAAGGCTGTTCGCGCAGCCCGCGCGCGCTGAGTCTGGCGTTCCCTGCCCGGTGGAGAACACATCTCCTGGTCTGCTGAGAATGCATTTCACCTCAGGGTCCTAACCATAGCCAAGTTAGTTGCATGCTAATTGTCGTAGTCGATCGTAGTATTCACGTGAGATCTGCCGCTAGGGATTAGGAAAGCACATGTGTGTGTGTGTGTGTGTGTGTGTGTGTGTGTGTGTGTGTGTGTGTGTTTTTTTTTTTTTTTTTATTTTATTTTTTTATTGGGAACACAGCCCTACAAAGAGACATTTGGAGACAAGACACAAGACAAGACACAGGGGATGTAGGGACGACGTGCCGATGTACGGGGAGCAACTCGACCGACCAGGGGTCTCGGCGTTAGCGTTGCAACCTGGCATCGAAAAAAAGGGGGGGTTGCATGGTCAGGTAGCAAAAATAATAATTTGGTGTGAGAAAGGGGCGCTAGTATTGCACCAAATAATATAAATTAATACGTGTAATGACTAAACCAGAAGGGAAAATTAAGAAAGAGGACAATAATCATAACAAGCAAGTAGTAGTAGAGAGGTAAATACTAAATGGGTCTCAAATCTCAATATCATCGTCACAGGTACTGTGTGGACCACAGCCATCTCTTTCGGATTAGATCCTTACATACGTTGACCTTGAAGGTTTGGAGGCGTCTTGAATGAGGCTCGTGAAGCAGGAGGTCCGCAGGCAGGTTGTTCCAGGGTGTGATGGCGAAGAAGGGGAAGGATCGCAGGAGGTAGTCAGGGGCTGTGCGAGGGGGTGTCCACTTCAGCTGAAAGGCATGGTGCGTCTGACGTGTTTGCCGTGTGCACATGCTAGCTACGGCAGGGGGCTTGGTTGGTGGCAGCATGGCCTTTACCTGGGGAGGCCCTGGAATGTAGTGCAGCTTGAACAAGTATGACAGGGCTGCCACCATCCGACGAAGCTGAAGACTTTGGAGGATGGTTCCAGGTCCCAGGAAATGCAGGGCACGTTGCTGAACCTTGTCCAGCTGGGATATGTTAGTTGCGGCTGCGCTCGACCAGGCCAGTGGGGCATATTCAAGTAGGGGTCGCACGAATCCCTTGTAGACCGTCACTCGACCATGGTCGTCCAGGATGGGTGCTGCCTTTCGTAGGAAACCCAGCCTTTGGGAGGCGCGCAGTGCAACACTGCGAGTGTGCGCTCTGTAGGAGAGAGTGGGGTCGAGCATGACTCCCAGCAGCTTCAGGGTATCTGTCTCCTGGAGTGCTTCACCTCCAAAGGTGACTGGTGGAGTGCAGGGGGGAACGTGCTTGCGATGTAGAGTCATGCGCTGTGTCTTGGCTGGCTCAAAACAGATACGCCACTTGCGGCCCCACTCCTCAAGACTGTTAAGGGACCCTTGGAGGGAGGCGGTGGACTGTTGGAGATCGTCAGTTGGCTGTACTAAGCTGTAGAGTGTGGTGTCGTCTGCAAAGCTGCTCAGCTGCGTTCCTGGAGTTAAACATTGTTCAATGTCACAGGTGTATAGAAGGAAGAGGCTGGGTCCTAGGATGCTGCCTTGGGGGACACCAGCCTGGATGGGTTGAGCATCTGACGTCTGGCCTCCAACCACAACGCGGATGTTTCGGTTGGTGAGGTAGTCCTGTAGCCATACAAGCAGGCGTCCGTCGACGCCGGCCTGCTTTGCTTTGTACAGCACTCCTGTGTGCGATACCCGGTCAAACGCACCGGCAATATCCACGGCGAGGACCTGGACACAACCGCCAGTACTTATGGTGTGGACCCATTCATGTTGGAGAGCCGTTAAGATATCTGCGGTTCCTCTACCACGTCGGAATCCAAACTGGCTGTTTGGCAACACCTCATGCTTCTCTAGGTAGTTAACCAGTTGCGTGTTTACAATGCCCTCCATGACTTTCGACATGATCGTTAGCAGTGATATTGGTCGGTAGTTAGATGCCAAAGATCTGGAGGACCGTTTGTGAACTGGGACTACATGGGCAAGTTTCCATGCCCCGGGTTGCACACCGGCTAAGAAGCAGAGGGCGAAGAGCTTTGCCAGTGGGTCTGCAAGTTCAGATGAGCACATCTTGAGCACACGAGCAGAGATGCCATCCGGTCCAGTTGCTTTTGATACAGCCAAGTTCGCCAAGTGCCGTTTGACCGTTGCTGCGCGAAAGTGAATGTGCTTTAGCGTGGCATAGGCAGGTCGTTGCAGGTCAGGCAGGTCAGCAGCACAGAGGTCGTTATTGCCAAGGCTACACTTGTTCGCAAAATGCGCTGCAAAGCACTCGGCTTTCTCACGAGAAGAGTGGAACTCTTGTCCTGCAGGGTTGGTCAGCAGGGGGATGTCATGTGTGTGTGTGTGTGTGTGTGACTGTGTGCGTGTGTGCGCGCGTGTGTGTATGCATGCGTGCGGTTGATGAGTACATGTTTAGGTGCCAGTTTCCAAGGAATGGAGTGCAGTGGTCCTAGATACTACTTACTAGGGTAATCATGCAGTTTAGGGTCCCAAATTATTTCGCACTTTCCCAGTGTTCAGTGTACTGTCACACGCGTTTTCAGTGTACTTTCACATCATGAACTTTATTTTCATGAAAACCGAGGACAGCTCAGACTGGGTACTACTGGTGAACACTGCGGAGCAGGGAGCCGAACGTGTTGTCTTCCGCGCGAACTCTCTGTCTCCACACGAACTCGCAGAGGTACGTCGGGAACAACTCTCGCGAGGTGCCGAAGTTGCGCTTCAGCTGGCGCTTGGCCCGCATCCACATGTTTTCCACGTTGTTGGTGTGGATCGTTCGGTCGTCCGGATCAACAAAGTTGTCGTCGTGGACGACGACATCGTGCTGGTATACGCCACCGTCGATGTTCCTGATCTGCGCGTATGCGGCCCAGCCGTCAGAGATGATGCGTGAGCCAGGCAGAATCCACAGGAAACAAAACTTTGACAAAGGAAACAAAACTTTCACACGAGAAAAGAAGAACTGAAGCATAGTGAAAGTACACTGAAAACGCGTGTGACAGTATACAGTATACTGAACACTGGGAAAGTGCGAAATAATTTGGGACCCTAAACTGCATGATTACCCTTACTAGTACTAGATTGCCTGCGTGTACATCTACATGTTAGGGTAAATCATAAAAATGTAACCTGTACTGTAAGTCTGTATGCTACGTGTACTGTATGTACTACATGATGTACACAGTCACTCATAGTCAGTTTTCAATGTACTTACGTATTACTATTAGGCCCTGAGGATATGTTGGCTGTGACTGTGCACCAGTCAGCATAGGCACGTAGAGCAGGAACAGAGTCGGAACTAGCCACCATACGCTAACACTAGTAACACGGTGTACCTGGTGTACTTGGGCGCGTCTGAGATAAAGCAGATGGTGCGGAAACTGCCTCGACATGGTAGCGTGCGCAGCGTTTGCCCGGCTGGCACAGGCGCTAGTCTCACCTCCGGAGCTTGGCTCCTCCGCTGGCTTTTGGGACAGACTCCCAGCTTCGCCTTGCTCCCTACATGCCCTCATAGTCATACTGTGACAAACAGGCACCAGCCTCGCGGGGGGCGTTGGTATCAACAAGTATCAAGTTAGTTCACACCTTATTCTTGTGTTCCGCCAGGCTGGGCTGAGTATATTCTAGCTTCTCAAATGTCCTGCATGAGTCACAGTGTTGGCACAAGATACCTCCTTGCACAGCGCTTCTTTACTTGGACTTTTATTTTGTCTGAGTTTCAGGATCAGGACTTCCACTACTTCGGACAGACTCAGTACGGCCGGTAACTAAGACTAGTAAGAGAGATCAGGAGGTTGAGAATAATAAACTGAACTGATGTATTATAAAACGTGTAAAAGAAGCATTCCAAGAAGCTCATGATACACGTACGGGCCTCGTCCTAGAGTTCTACACACTCGTCGCCAAAAGAATCCGGCCAATGCCGCCATGCGTACATGTACCATGATGTACGAGATGACTGTATCGATGTACAGACCGCGCCGGTGGCAGTGGCATGGTGCCTGTAGCATGCATGCGTCAGTAGAGGGTGCACACGTACTGGTCCACAGTACCAGCACCATGCATGAGCACAGCGCGCGGTGAAAACAGTCCCCGCGGCCCGCGCGCTGCTGTTTACGACTTTAGCTCTGCCTGCTGACTAGTCGAGCACAGCACGGATCTAGCTCTACGCTAGCTGAGTCTGTACAGACTCAGTATTGCTAGAACCGGTATCCTGCAGCATGTGCCCGGGCCGTGGTGCACTACTGTAGGCTACTGAGCTGACCATGCATGGTAGAGTACTGCTACTTGCTAGCACTAGAATTCTAGAAGTAGAAGTAGAAAGTAGAACTAAAAAAAAAGACAGTCCACATACAGCTACCGGTAGCTAGCTGGCACAGCATTGGCCGGACTTTTTTGGCGACGACTGTGTGTGTGTGTAGTGCATGTACTAGTACTAGTAGTACTAGTGCTGACATCATGTGCATGTATCATCATGCCATTCATGGTCATGCTGATTGCGCAATGTAACCTGCACGCTGCATGCACTTTTGTACTTGTTGAGTCCACACTGGACTCATCTTCAGTTCAGGATCGGAATGCCGCTTGGTCTCTCCTGCTTAGTCACCGGGTATTCCCCTTGTCCTCCCCCATATGCACTGCAACTACAACACGTTCAGTACTACTAGTAGTAGTAGTAGTAGTAGTAGTAGTACTAGTAGTAGATCTAGTACTACTAGTACTAGTAGTAACTCCTCTTTTTTACGAATCCCCAAGCAAGCGGCGCTTGTACATGGACAAGTACAAGTGCCCACGCTGGCACGCTCTCACTACACAGCATGACGAAGAAAAGGAAAGGAATGTTAATACTAGTTACACACATACCGGTACATGAAAGCATAAAGACAGGGCGGGAGAGAGAAGAGGGAATTCTGGAATGTTCCCTGCTCCCTGGTTTAGATCTACTAGTACGAGTCGTAACAAACAATAAGAGGACGGAAAAAGTACGAGTCGTACATGTACATGACTTACATGTCTTACAATACATGTACAATCAGGACCTCCGACACTTTGTGTACAGATAGCTAGCTACTGTACAATGTACAATAGTCATGTAGCGCATGTACATGTACATGTACATGGACATGATTTTTTGTTGTGAATTACAGCCTCTTTTACGGGCAAAAATAAATAATTTATTGATATACCACAAGCGACTGCTAAATCGTCCCTCCATCCCCAGGCTCAGTACAGGTATAAACAAGTGCCTACCCGTGTCTGGCAGGTTGTGAATGAAGACTTGTCTAGGTTGGACTGGTCATTACTTCATGGGCATTCTGATGTTGATGATGCCATTGTCCTCTTTGATGCTTTACTACAGTCAGCATTCCATCGTCATCTGTTGCCTTACAAAGTTATTCCGCGGACAGGAGACTACATTAGGCCTCGTCCTACCATGCGGGATGCATCCCGACCCTGGATCACTCCGGACCTCAAGTGTGCTGTGAAACTGAAGCGAGATTTGTATAGCATTTATAGGAAGTATCCAACCAGTGAAAACTTCATTGCCTTTAAGCGCAAGCGTAACGAAGTGAAATGTTTGTCACGTACCTCCATCGTCAGTATGTACAGTCGGTTCATGCCACCCTGTCTTCCCATGATCGCCCTAGTCTCCATCAATTTCTCCGCCATCTCCGTAAGAACTGTAGTCGGGAGCCGATCCGATCAATGACAGCTTCAGACGGCACGGTAGCAACAGATCCCGCAGACATAGCAGACATATTGAGCACGCAGTTTACGTTGTTTGGACTTCCTGACGACCCTACGTGGCCTATACCACCACTCACCCCTTCACCCTCAATACCTGCGTCCCTCCTATCATTGTCGACTGGTACAGCCCAAGTGAGGAAATATCTCCGTAATCTGAAAACTGGCAAGTCCCCTGGTCAAGACGGAATTACCAACGAAGTTTGGAGAGCTCTTGCTCCGTCTGTTGCCTATCCTGTGTCAATTATCTTGAATATGTCATTTCGTGAAGGGAAATTCCCAGCCATGTGGAAAACTGCGGTAGTCGTGGCCACCTACAAAAATAGAGGACCACGCACCACCCCCAGCAACTATCGCCCTATCTCATTGCTCTCTACTTTATCAAAAGTGTGCGAACGTGTTGTATATGACATCATTTATGATCATGTTCGCATTTCACTTTCGCCAGCACAGTCGGGCTTTTGTCGGGGTGACTCCACCAGGTACCAGGTTACCCGCCTCGTGCAAGACATCCACACCGCCCGGAACGCCCATAACCATGTTGGTTTAGTTTTCTTCGATCTCGCAAAGGCCTTCGACACTGTTTGGCACAGGGGTCTCTTAGCTAAGCTGCGAACAGTATATCGCATTGATGGCAAGGCTATCGGCTGGCTCTCATCGTATCTCTCTAACCGACATCAGCTTGTACGCCTCTCAACTGTGTTATCGGAGCCTTTACCCGTTACTTCTGGAGTCCCCCAGGGTTCAATCCTTGGGCCACTGCTATTTCTCCTGTATATTAATGACCTCCCCGATATTGCCCCTGGTGTCAGCCTTTTCGCTGACGACACAGCTCTGCTTTGCTCCAATGCTTGCCCTATACGCCTGCACGAAGCCATGCAAGATAGCATTGGGAAAGTTATAACCTGGATGCATGATTGGAAGTTGCAGCCAAACGTTGATAAAACGGCAGCTATGTACATTTCCCCTTCTCCCCCTTCCCTGCCACTTTGTTTTCCTTCTTCAAGTGTTGCTATTCGTATTGTTGAAGAGCATAAGCATCTTGGCGTTATTATTGACTCTAAATTGTCGTGGTCACCCCATGTGCAGTATGTCTGCAAGCGCACAAGCTCCATCCTTGGGGCTCTTCAAGCCCACTGTAGACATCTTCCTCTTTCTTGCAAACGCTTGTTTTATCGTTGCTATATATTGCCCTTACTTGACTACTGTGATACTGCTTGGTCTGGCATAACTACTACTGTATTGAACAAGCTAGAAACCCATAACCGCATGCTCCTTAAAATCTTATTTAGCAAAGATCGTCGCTTTCCCTCCGCTAGTCTTTACGAAATTGCCAAGATCAGTCCCCTTTCCACTCGACATAAGTACCACCTCTGTGTTCTCATACATAAAATATTACTAAATAAAATACCCTTGCATATGCAGGCTTATAATTGGTTCTCCGAAACACGGAATACCCGGAACTCACTCAGTCTCCCACGCGCTGCCTCCACCCTTTTCACTAGATCCCCGATCTTTGCTGGCTATGTGTTTTGGGCAACATTACCAACGCAGGCCAAGACCAGCACGTCGATGGATAATTTTGTTGCTAAAATCTCTGCTCAATTATAGGTTTCATGTATATCCTGCTGGTTTGTCTCCTCCTTTGCCTTCTTTGCCTCTTATTTGTATTCTTTTATCTGTTTTACTGCTGTGGTTGGCTTTCACCCTTGTCTCAGTTTTATTGGCCGTCATCATGATGTGCCATGAGATAATGATATAAATACAAAAAGATACAGCTTGTGTTTATGTTTAAAGGAAAAACAGAAGAAAACTGAGCCGAAAAGTACTATGGCTGTGAAGCACGCACGAGGGCAGCTGATAAGGTCAAGGAAAAAAACAAAAACACACACATGTACATGTACATGTACTAGTAGTAGTACATGTCATCCGTTTGCCAGGTGTAGTCTATTGTAGAACTATGAAGTTATGTGTTGCTTTGTTACTTTACTTGACATGTACATGTACTGACTCAGTGACTGTGCATGTGATGTATGGAATCGAGCATGAGTACGAGGACGAAAGTGCGGAATCGGAGCCCGACGCGCGCTAGCGCGGAGGGCTCCGATTCTAGCACTTGAGTCCGAGTACGAATGCTTTGATACCATTTCTGACATGCATTGCACGAACTACTTCGTACTACTATGATTGTAGTACTTCACACATACCTAGTACCTACTCAAGGCACGCACACTAGACCAGACAAGGAACACAACTAGTCGCCAGTTTAGTACTTCAGACATGTTACATAATGACTTTCAACATCAAACTAACAAAGCACTTGTAGCAAGTCCCTGCACATCTGCATTCTTCAACCATAATGCACTATGCACTTAGTCTTTCATACCGGCGCTCCACTCCCGCCTAAAAAACTCCCGCCTAAAAAAAAAAAAAAAAAAAAAAAAAAAAAAAAAAAAAAAAAAGCGGCCTCTGATGGCTGAATCGGAGCACGCCTAGGCGTGCTCCGATTCAATCGGAGCACGCCTGGGCGTGCTCCGATTGGAAAATCGGAGACCTGCAAGCGCTCACAGGTCTTCAGTGGCTGATTCAAAGCACGGCAAGTCGCGCTAGGATTCGCTGTTGCCATGTCGATTGTCATGTGACATGTCAGAAGTACAGTGCAGGTACATGTACAAATGTACAATCCAGCATCAGGATTCATGACTCATAGTCATAAATCATTGTTATAACTTATGAGCATGAGACACGATCATCATTGATCACTGCATCCGGATTCCTGACTCCTGAGATGTCAATGCTATGTGACTACTGTATTTAGTATTTACTTCAAGTCCGCAAAGGCACACAATGAAAAGTTAAACCTTGGGCAAATTCTGTTGTGACTCAGAGTTTCATGGCTGAACCAATCATCAGACAACGAGGGTCGTTGTCTGCTGATTGGTTCAGCCATGAAACTCTGAGTCACAACAGGTTTTGCTCAAGGTTTTCATTGTGTGCCTTTGTGTACGCCGCTCTGCTTGAATCAGGTGTTGAGCACTTTCGCAGAACATACTGCCTCTTACTTGAAGTCATCATGACTGAAGACATACACAGACTTTTACAGGTGAAGCAAGAGCACTGGCGCAGTAGACACATTGCACATTGCCATT